TGCTTGTTTTAATTTTTCGAAAGCACTATTGGCTTCGGCCGTCCACGAGAATCTTGCCTTTTTCCTTTTTAATTTTAACAATGGCTCAGCGATAGCCGCAAAATCTTTTATAAAGGACCTATAATATGAACAAAGTCCTAGAAAAGAAGAGAGCTTCTTTGCCGTGTTTGGAGTCGGATACTTTTGTACAGCGATTATTTTTGATTCGTCTGTCTCGATTCCTTTCTGAGATATTTTGTAACCTAAATATTTTAATTCAGGGGCTGCAAATTTGCACTTTTCGACATTAACTTTTAGACCGGCCTCATTTAATAAAGAAAACACCTGTCTTAAATCCTGTACATGTTGGTCGAGATTATCACTAGTAATAATGATATCGTCTAAATAGATAAATGTGGACTTTCCAAGAACAGGTCTTAACACAATGTCCATGCACATCGCTGAAATGTTGCCGGGGCCCCTGAAAGGCCAAACGGCATACGCAAAATGCATAAGTGCCAGACTTGGTTATAAAAGCAGTCTTAGGCACGTCCTCAGGCCTAACCCCTATTTGAAAATAACCAGTTCGTTAAGTCTAAAGTCGTCATAAATTTGGTTGATTTTATGTTCCTTAAAATTTCTTCTATAATCGGTAACGGATATACCGGATATTTCGTTATGGAATTTAATTTACGGTAATCAATAGCGAATCTCCACCTTTTTGGATGCTCCAAAGGATAGTCATTATTTTTCTTACATAAAACCACCGGGCTAGCATAACTACTTGAGATGGGCGTTATGATCTTTTTACGTAGCATATCGGTAATATGCCATTCTATAATTTTTTCCTTATTCTTATCATACCGGTATGGTTTTTGGCGAACTGGCAATGCAATCTCCGGTGTCAATACTATGGTTAGTAACCTGAGTAAATCCTGGAATATCACTAAATAACGAAGCAAATTCACTTACCACTTGTCGGATTCTATCTTGCTCGTTCATTAGGCAGGTGGTCAAGATTTAACCTCGGCGGTTCAGCCTTTTCTACACGCACTGGTTTCATCGTCAGCTTAAGGGACGCTTCATTAAAATCCAGTGTAGCTTGTGCGTCTGAAAGAAAATCTATTCCTAAGATAAATGTGCTTGCAGAATTCTTTACTATAAAAACAATCACCTTTACTTGTTCGTCCTTGATACGGATGTACAAAGGTACTTTACCTACGCACTTACATTTTTCTCCTTGCGCGCCGCTAACACTGTCGTATTATCCGCATTATATATGCGGTATTTGCGAAAATACTTTCTAAAAAATCTTCTGCCACACAGGAACACTGCGCGCCGGTATCCAGGAGTGCGGTGGCTGGGATATTATTTCACCAAGACTTCAATCTTCGGAAGAGTCAAATTTTTCACCATTACTGTATTTAACTTGTAGGAAGAGGGGTTTTCGTGGCCTTCGGATTTCCGCACCCTCTCGTCAGCAGAAATCCGTTTTAGTTTAAATTATTTTTCCTTTCCGTGCTTTCCTTCTTTTTCCACTGGCCTTGAGACTTTTTTCCTGGGTTGCTATTGAACTGTCGACGTTCGCCGGCTGTTTTTGAATGCTCGGGTTTCCTTGCCCACTGATTCGCTTTTTCTCCGTAGCCATGTGCTTGAGTTTGCTGTAGTCTTGGCGTACCAAATTGGTTTCGCTGTTGATATTGGCGTCTTCTTTCGACGTCCGCCGTTCTTCTACTTTCAAACTGGATTGCTAGCTCAAATAACTTTTCCAGTGTAGTCGGATTTCTTAATTCAATAAAGTCTTGCACTTGGGGCAGTAACCTCGGCAAAATCACTTGAATTATTTCAGGATCCGGACGGTTTCCATACAAGAGCTTGAAAACGTGAATTTTTCTTAAAATAAAGCTCGAGAGGTTTTCGATTCTTTGTTGATATATACTGAAAAGTTCCGTTTCTAATTTCGCACGATCCCTTACAACAGGGAAGGCTTTTAGTAGGGCAGTCTTGAAATTTTCGTAAGTATAGGTGGGACTTCCTGCTTGACCCAAGAGACTTCTGCCGATACATTTGAACCAGTTAAGCGCTTGGCCCCTCAAAGCGCTGGTAGCTAAGGTAACTTTTTGAAACTCGTGCACGGGGTAGAGCATGAAGTGGTCATCCAATTTTTCCAAAAAACTGGTTACCGGTGAGTTTCCATTAAACGTTGCTTCTGGTTTCATCGAAGCGCGCATGGTCTGGACGATGTAACCAAATCCTTCCAGGGCGGCAGCTGGCATTTCTGGATTCTGAGCCGCTTCTGCAGGCAGCACAGGTTCTTCTTGAAACTCGGCCATGGTTATTCTTCTTCGTTGGGCGCCACTATCAGGTTCAATGTTCCTTCTAACTTTCTTCGGGAAATACAAGGACCTGACTCGGAACAGAGAGCTTACTAAAGCTATGTTCACTAATTGTGGGAAGTAGACAGGATACAGACGAAGGGTATACAAAACCCTTTATTTTTCTCTATTACAATAACTTTCCGTACTTCGGAATACAATGACCCCCACTACCTCCACTCGGGGTCTAACGTAAAAGATATAAAAAAAAACTAAACTCTAATTTAACTTTAGAATAATAAACGTGGAAGATTGGCCTTATAATAAACAGGAAGCGTATGTAGCACAGAGACTGTGAACACTACAATACGTTTAATTTATCAAGAGGATTAAAACCTCTGGCCTGGAAGGCAAACAGCAACTGCGTAACTTCTAAGGTAAGCGGCCTGCTTCGACTCACGCTTCCTCTCCTTCGCTTGGCAAAAAGGCCACATCTTAAATACTTGGCGTTCGCCAGACAAACTTTGCATAAAATCCTTAACGCTTATAATTCTGGCCGGAAGTAGAAAATAAGAAGTGATAGTAAAGATTTAAAAAAAATAAAAACGTTAGTAAAATAAAACTTAAGATCCTTACAGTTTTACTCTGTGTAAAATGAAATTAGATTGGCCATTTTTCCTAGGAAGTTCTTCACAGAGGTTCCCTTCTTTGGGCAGATCCCTTACATGCTTTTCCGTAATCAAAATGATGCAGTTCACCTTGATTACCCATCAAACTTGGAATCATTATCATTACAGGTAAGAGAACTCTTCCATTGTCAGTATAGGCAATGAATGGTTAAAGATCCATTTTCATATAGCACCAGTAAAATAAAAAATGACTCAGACTGCGTTTTCTATTGAATTTTATCTAATAATTTGTAATAATTGAAAATAATGTGTATATTGTTCCAAAGAAACATAAATTTATGGCTAAACAAATATTTTTACTAGTGATTTCTTTATTTATTTGCATGATTTTACTATTTTCTTATGCCTTTCTTTTATTTTAGAACAACAACATTTAAAGGTGTATTAGAAAAAGTGTAAAAAGATAAATTGGAGCATTCCAGCAATGATGAAGAAGCATGTATTCCCAGCTCTTCAGTAACTGCTGAAGAAACAGAACAAGAAAAGATGGAAGTGAGTAATGAATTAGACGATATATCAGAAGGTGAGTTTCCTCCAAGTGATAAAGAAGATCTTGAACAGGAAGAGGAAGAAGAAAAAGACTCTGAAAAAGCCATTGCATTAGACATGAAATACTAAATGTAGTATTTCATGTCAATGTACTCTGTCTTTGATATGATTTAAATCAAATTCCTTGTCATTATAAATATCACGAATACACATCAAATAGTTTTCTGGTTGCATTTTTCTAATTTCGACAATGTGTAATGTACACTTTACGCATGCGCGCGTTGAAAGAAATGTTTAATAAAGTAAACAAATAAATATTAATTTTTTTTCTAAATTTTGATACCCTTTAGATCATAATTGCTCTTTATTTCATAAATTACGGTTTTATATTTTTAATTTTATAATTTCTGCATGGCATATTACCAGATTTAAACTTATGATCTATAATCCAGAAAAATCGATATCCCGGAATCGCCGAAGTCCCGACAAGTCCAAATTAAGGCTTTTGACTGTATATGAATTTTATCAAGGCTTTTAAGATTATCTTAATCAGCTTTATTTATTTTTGTTATAAACATGCTTTACTTCATTTCTTTTGCTGAAATTAATATTTACAGAAATACAGATATAAATCATACATCAAATATCTAATAAATCAAAAGATGCAATTTGTAAAAGCATATAAAGGTACTTTTCCATTTTGACGGCGCAAGTCGTCAAAAATGGTACAATCGATGCCAAACATATTATCCTCGTTGGTAACCTTTTATGCCTCATTTTCAAAACAAATAGATAATAAGTTGCAGCCATTTCTTATCAGATTGATTGTTTCTTTAAATACTGGCATATACTTGCATAGAATTTTTAACAGATAGTTCAATTTTATGTCCTAAGGCCATTCACGGTAATTAAGTAAATTAGGATGCAATCATACTGCTCACTCGATGGCAAAAATATAGAAAAGGCGAAGTCAAGGGTTAAATTCATCAATTCTAATGAGAATGCACTAGCGAAGTAAAGCACTGTGGTTTCATATAATTTCTGAGTAAGCTATTCGTATGAATTGAAATAATTCTCGCATTTAAACTTGTATTTCAAATTAAGATTAAACTTGAAATTAATGTAGATAATTACTGAGAGAATTAGATTTTTGTAGCGTAGTTTACGCGAGATGAGAACACTTGGGGTTACGTGATATGAAACAGCGAATCCTGATGTTATACTATGAAAGCATAGTAAATTCTTAAATTAATGTCTTTTTACAAAATTCTAAACGATATTAAAATGTTTATGCCTTCAAAATAAAAATTTCTTAGAACTAACATTTATTAACACTTTTTATGTGTATACTGTGTGTTGTCTCCAATAAAGTCTGCTTGGCAACATTTGTGCCAACGAAAAGAAAAAGTACCCATATAAACTACATTTATGATTAATTAAATTTCCTTTCAAAATATTTTAGAAGACTGTAATTATAGGTAACAGAAATATAGTTTAGAAACAATGACAGTTTAGAAAAATACATTACCTTCCTAGAATAACTTCTCTATTTTCTCCAGTCACACCAAATTTACCATAACGCCAAGGAACTTCAAAAACCATAACTCCATTTTTCCCACTTAAAGCAAGAAGACTTCCAGTTTGATTAAAAAGCAATGATTCTACATCAAAAACAGGAGGGTTTGTCAGAGTGAGCATCTGAAATAAAACATGAGGAATAAAAAATCATGAAGATACATCTTTTAATAACTATGACATCACCTGTAATAAAGGTCAATGCAAACCTGAACTTAAATGTAGAAAAAATACATTGCAAGTTGCAAGCACTCGTACATTATGAGCAAATACTTTTCATTACATATACATTAAAGAGAAATTATTTTCAATCTTCTGTTAGATTTGTATGTTTTATAATCCAAGAATGAAATATTTCTTAGTGCAAATTATAACCTTAATTAGCATGAGAAGAAAGGAATTTCCAATTTATGTTTTTTATTATCTTCCTTTAGTGAGAAACAGTAGATATGCCTTGTTATGCCACACTAAAATAAAATGTCATTTCCCTTATGTTTTCCATCTTTATGCAGGTAATTAATGATTCTTAATTACATTTGTATAACTTAAAACATAAAAAATGCTTGATATTTTTATAAAATGTCTTATTTTTTAATAAGCTTTCAGATGCAAAGCAAGAATTTGATAGATCAGACAGCACATTCTTTATACTTTTTACTTTATTGCTACTTTACATTTTCACTCCAACATCGTTATTTTTATTATTGTTGAGAGTTATCAGCGAAATTTCAATGCATGAAATTATCTCTTACATTCAATAAGTACATATGCTGTAATTATTTCAGATTATTTAAATAATGTATGGTAATGATTTGTATAAGTGTAATTCTTTGATAAGAACACAAAACTTCCTTCACTTATTGGCAATATGGGATGTTACACCATCTTGCATGAAGGCAGTAGTTGCTTAACATTCTGTAACACAAGCATGACTCACAATGGAATATCTTTTAAGGTTTCAAGGAATACTTTCCTTAAAGAAAAAGGGACTAAGAATGAAGGCAACAGTAAAAGGACACACACTGTTGTGGAATCAGTATGCAGAGGCTGTTCATGTAAAATATTGGGACTGGCACTATCCCATATGCAAGAATTCTGAGTATTCACTGCCCTATCTGGGACAAAATGTGCCTCATCACACCACAGAATGTTCCAAAACCATGCATTGTCAATGTGTATTCTCACCAAAAACTTCCAAAGAAAGCCAGTGTGTTGATGCAGGTCTGGAGCATGCAGCTTTTGCACCATGTGGATCTTGTATGAATACCACTTTTAAATTACTCATAGAACTTTTCATACTGTAAACCAAGTGGATGGGCACATCATGTAATACCACTGGAACACTAGTCAAAGGGTACTCTGTTAACCACAATAACAGAAACTTCATCCACAGCATGAATTGAAAGCTTCTTCCTAGCAGCACACCTAAAAGCATAATCTCTTGAAATTTAATAGTCACATCTTTCAAACCATTCTTCATTTTTGACAAGCTTTTCAAGTATTGATATTCTCAAAGCAGATAAATTATTACTTCAATTCTGATAAAACTTGATTAACTAGAGCTTGATCTTTCTTCTCAAAAGGCACAGTGATATAAATTTTTAAGCCATTGGCTAATGGCATTTTAAAGAGCTCCTAATTTGAATAGCTTTCTTACTGCATTACATGAAAAGTGCCCTCTAGTGGCTGAAATTTAGACTATTTTTATTGTGGTTGTCTTTTCTCCGAAGCCCATACAACATATGTGCATAATTTCAGCAAGAAATGTCAATAAGAATCAGCTCTATGTGGGTCTGTATAGGGCTACTTTAATTATAGCCACAAAGCTCTGATAGCAATTCTAAACAAACTGAATTATTTAAGTTTGTTACTGAAGAATTTGTAAGTTATATGAACAGATATGAAAATCAAGAGACACAGATTTATTGTTAACCGCTTGCCTGATTATCCCGAGTTATCTCAGGTTCGTATATATTGTAGTTAATTATTATCCCGAGGAAACTCGGGCGTAGCAGAATTGGTTAGTACGATTTCTTTTATCACGGTTTTACTCGGTCTGGAGGAAATGAAAGGAAATATTCAGCTTTGATTGGCAGTTTGCCAAATTTTGTTGGTTGCACGGTTCTTTTGGAGAGACTGGTAGCACGTTTCCCTATTTTATAGTATACGTTGGCTTGTGGATTGGTAATGTATAAAAGAAGGATGCATGCGTTGGAAAAAAATAAAATAATGGCAATGATACAAGATAGCGAAAGCGATGATTTTTCAGATAGTGATTATGATGAGGTGGGGAAAAAATAAAAATAAAATAAAATAAAATCCAACGAGACAGTGTACTCTGTGCTCCCGTGAAAGAGATTCCAGCGGTAAGCCAGTAAGAAAAGAGACCAGATACCAGTGTAGAACGTCAGGTATCACTCTGTGTTGTCCCTTGTTTCAAAAACTATCATACAAAGATTAATATTTAACTTTTTTTTGTTTGCCCGAGATAACTCGGGATAGCAAACTAATATTAAAAATAAATGCTTTTACACCTTCAAAAATTAAAATTCAACTTAAAGCCTACATATTTTGATTTGTTTCATTTTGTTGTATTTAATAAAAATAAAAAAAAATGTGATGATTTTTTGCAATTTTTTTCAAAAAAATTTGTAAGGGAAGCGGTTAATGAAAAGGAAGTTAAAACTTTCATAAATAAGTTAACAAAATTTAATAAAATATGAAGTTTGAAATTCAGAAAGATCTAACATCTGAACCATTAGGATTTTTTCCCCCTTTTTAAGGATTTATATACATATAAAGTCTAGGACTGGAGGCTCAAGAAAAAACAGGTGTGCCAAAAAAGCAATTTTTATTCTAACTAAACAGAACTTCTTCTATGTTTTATTTATTTGGGTAAGATGTCACAGACACTGTTTCCCCCCCCCTCACCCAATGGTCTAGCAGTGAGAAGAAAGATAGAAATTAGATTCCAAGGAACCTAAGTTGAGTTAACATAGCAAATTGTGCTGTTTTCTTAATTTTTTGGTCTGGAGCAGCTTATTATTTTGGTCCAGCAATTATAATAAACCCTATCAAATAACAGTTTTATTAAATGATAATGTTTCCATTTTACTCTTTCCCCAAAACTATACATTTCTTAATCAACCAATGGATATCAGTATTTTCTGCACACTGAAATGCAGAAAGTAGCTTTTTAGAAACTGATGTTAAAGAACACTCAAGAATTCTAGAAATATTTTAATATAAAATATGATGTGTGTGGCATTGCAACATCGTGAAAAGATGTGCCTGCAGATATTTTAAAATTGCTTACCATAATTTATAGCCTGTAACCAAATTTCATGAAGATGATGAGAGCTATGAATCTGAAGGTTTTCAGATATCATAAGAAAAAAGAAAATTTTCTGATCATGGAATATGAGCACTACTAAATGAAAATGATACAATTAAAATCTTGCATTGTGATGACAATGCCTCAGTCACCAATCAATTAGCAGAACAGCAAGTATCAGTAGTATGGTTTTAAATCCAGAAAATAGCATTTTGGCTTCAAGTTCACATTTTAATTCATGTAGTGGGAGTCAGAAAAAAGATCTTTCTTTATGGAAAATACCTTTTTCTTCAAAAAAGCATTACCAAGGGAAAAAGAAAGGAAAAAAAAAAGTTTTAAAAATAATTTCTGCGTGTCATCTTAAATTGAAATCCAGCAATTTCTGAAATCTCTTAAGTCTCAATGATTCTGGATCTCAGACCATGTATTAATCAATAGCAATATGAAACTGAGAACCAGAAATTTTTTATAACAAACAAATTTCTAGGAAAAGGATATTTTGTTACTATCTCTAATTTTTGATTGCCATATGAATTCCACTATGTAGCTACACAGATGTTGATTACTTCTTTTTGACGTTTTGGTAAATTTCCCACTTTTAGCAATAATAAATGAAATTACACAAGCGTCATACCAGTTCCTTTTCTCTCTACTATCTCCTGTATTAATAATTTAATACAGCATTTCAAAAAAGGTTTTTGATTTATTAGATTACAGCAAGCACTCAAAGGCTATCTAAGCATGTCTTCGTGGAGGACTTTCTAAAGAAAACTGACTCGTATATATGTTACACAGAGAGAAAACCGTAAAAATGCCCATGCTGCCAGCCCATTCACTGGGATTTGAACTCTGGACAAACTACCAGTGTTCAGGGATTTTATCACTCGGCTGCTGGTGGGAAAAATTTTTTTTTGTAATTTCGAAAAAGAAAATTATTTTTTACAATAGAACTTTTTAAGTCATGATCATTTGCACAAATCTTATTACCTAGCAAAACATGCATTTCCCCCAAAAAAGTTAATGCTCATTCCCTCCTTGTTCCTGAAAAATTCTGAAATTTCATAATTGTACTTCAACAACTGCTCAGAACAATTAAATCCTAAATATTACACATATTGTTATATCAACTGCATCTTGAAATCTTTTCTTTTAATTGTGATAAAAAATAATAATCTCTTCAGCTTTGTTCAAAGAAATATAATTTTAATGATATAATAAAAAAAAATTATACTGCTGGCTCCTGTAATCAGAAAGATTCCCTTAATTTAGCAATAAAATTATTTTACAGAAAGGTGCAAAGTTAACAAAAAAATGCTAAAAGTATTCTACAAACGACAAAGATTGTTATCCAGATTATAATATAGTACATACAACAATGCATAAAATAACAGTGATGATAAATTTGCTTTAAAAAATTCACAAACTCAGCAGCCTTTACCTTTTATATTAATAAATGGTATATGCAATATATTTCTTTTCACAGCTAATAAAATAACATATTAAAAAACATTTCCATAAAAAGCTCTCTGGGAATGACGTGAAAAAACTTTTTCATAATGGAACAACAAGTTACACAGCCAAACAACTTCTGAACTGAATAACTAGAATATAAGATATATATGAAAATTATTAAAACAAAGAATTGACAGCATAAATCCAAGAAATTTAGGCACTTTTTATATATGCAAAGACACAGACCTTACTACTGATACTGAATAAAAACGTAGAACACTTCAAATTTTCATAACATTCATGACAGCTCAAACTTTAATGAGTCATTAAAAATCTTTCTCTATGTATTCAATTTAATCAAAATTACAAAGCATAAAGCCAATCAAAATTAAAATGAATTCCTGGTCTTATTTTTATTCTTATCACTTTAAATGAATACTTAAATTATAAAATTATTAGTAATGTCTTTAATTAATTAATAGCATGATGGCTGAATGTTCTTCTCAATATTTATTCTCAAAACACTTTTTTTTTTGGGGGGGGGGCAGAGGAATATTAAATAGACTTCCTTGAAACAATCGTAAAGTCCTTTCAGATAAATAACAGAATACTTCAAAAATACTTTAAGAATATGCTTCACCAATATGATACATTTAATATAAAGACACTAAAATATATGTAAAATAAAGATGAACATTTAATATAAAAATGCCTAAAATACATCAGATAACTGAATAAAGACGCAAAAGAAGAAGTGTACTGCTGATAAATGTGTGTATTTATGCATACATTTACACATTTCGATACATATGAGAAATTCTTCCATATACAGAAACCTTACAAACATTTATTCTGTAAAAAACATTTGAAAAAAATCAGCATCGAACTCCGCAGGGAATTATATACGTACTTTGTAGGATGAACTTTTTATTTCAGAATTTATGTCTGCAGTTAATATGCAAGATCCAGCATCATGCCAAACAAATACATTCTGCTCGAATATAGCAAGCAAGTTTTTTGATTCTTTTATGTTAAGATACTTCTTACTATTTAAACGCAATTTATCAAGTATTCCACATGCTGACAGCCGCTGATTTCCAGCATTAGCCATTTCGTTTAATAAAAGTGCTATAGATTTAATAATATGGAAATTGACAGATATATTTTTGCCTTTCACAATAGTTTGCGTTCGGCATTGGGAAAATAAATACGTTAATGTCTCACAATTGCAACTTTAAGAGATATCTTTCTGCCCCAAAATAAAAATTATGTACAGTTATTATGTTCGATTTGGAAGAGGGCGCTGCGATCACGAAAGCTGGAGGCAGTGTCTAAACATAGCTCCGAAATTTTTTAAATAACTGTTTCAGTAAATATTTTCAACTCTCTAAAAAAGTTTAATTCACCTTTCCTATGCAATGTCTCATTCATCAAATTGAAAAAAGGAAACTTCGCTTCTTCGAAACTTCAGATGTTTTGTTAGCTGCTTACTATCAACACGAGAAATCCAAAAGAGGCCCTGACACGGAATATTCAGATAAGTAACATTCTGTTCTTTATACAATATATGTTTCTCTATCACTAGAGTGCAATTAAATTTCTTTATTTATTATTTTCATAAGATTCTAGCATTATACCAATAGTTAGTAATAGTAAGCAAGTCATGTGGTTCTTTTCTTCGTAACTATTCCGTAGAGACGTCACATTCCTTATCAGTACTCCGTTCTTATCAGCAATTCACACCCTTAGGAGGCCCCCCTCTTCGTGCTTAGGAATTTCTTGAGAGAGGAAAAATGCGGGATCTCTTGACCATCGATGAGTATAGATTGTGATTTTTGTAACTAAGATCCCCGACCTTTTTTTTTTCAGGTATCAAACTTGGAATTATGATCAAATATAAATACAGGGTGACGGAATTTATTAAACTTGTACTATAATAAATTACAACTGTTAAATTAATAAATTAATTTTATATTTAACTAATATTTAAGAAAAGTAAACTGTATAATTTATTTTGTTGATATGCTCTCACTGTGTATGGATTTGATTTTGTCAATTACTGTTTTTCTGAAATATACATGAATTTTTTGGGAACGGCAATAGTTAATGTTACTTTAGTTAAAATTATATGTACATCTCTGTGATGATATATGTCTTTTCTAGTTAGGTCTCAAGATTAGGGCATACACATTACCATGTAGGAATTCATTCATTTATTATTTTTTTTTATTAAACTTAGCTAAAGTTTGCTTCTTAAAGACACTAATTTTTGCAGATCAACTCCTTAACTACACTCATGGACACAATCGTATTTTAGGATATTTTCTACTTCTTTTCCTTTTCTTTCTTTAGGCCCTTTTTTTTTCCTCTATTATTTCTGGGCCATTTATTTTAAATTTTATTTTGTCCCATCTTTTCTTTCTGGGCCTTTTGAACTCGTAAAAAAATGTACGAAGTTTCTTTTTTTACTCTCCTCTGAAATACGAAATTGCCCCCCTTTTCTATATACCTTTCCTTCGCACCTATGCTTGATTTTTCGCCCATCGGTGCAGAAAGACTTAGCGGGTGCAAAACAAGACATCTGTCTACTTTGTCTGTCTGTATGTCTATGTTCGATTTGAGGTAAAGCGTCAGCCTAGGCACCACCGTTCCAGGGAGAAAGTACAGAAAAGACAAACAAAATAATTTCAGAATTCTAGAGGTAAAATGTGAATGCTAAATCTACGGAAAGACGTAACATAAATTCAAAAGTCATGGTCACTTAATGCGACAATGATCTCCTTTTTTTTTCAATACTTCAACCCTTGTGAGACTTATCGATACGAAATTTAATAAAATAAAATTCTTAGAAAGTTGTATTTTTCCAGAAGTGTAAAGACCTCCCAAAAGTGAGCCTTACTTTTGAGTCTAGAGGAGCCTTATCAACACCGACTCTACGTCGGTGCTGGCCTTCCCAAAAGAACAGACAGAAACATTGGTTGGTTGCACGGCATTATACTCCGTGGTTGGTTGACTTATGTAAAACAGAAATCATGAAATGTTGCGGATAGGTAGGCAAAACTGAATGCAAGATTACTCCCATAGTTCAGAATAGGGAAATAAGTCATTTCAAAGCAGTTTCAGGAACCATTTCGTCACCAAGAATGTTCTCGATAGAGCATCACAGGGGGCAGGGTCTGATTAAGCCTTTTAGAGATCCTAAGCACTTAAAAGATTTTTTTTCCCACACAAATTGCATTAACAGTATAACAACTTTTTTTTGGGAGGGGGGAGTTCCAATTTCTTCTTTCTTGGTTTAGCTGTTTCATACATTGCACGATAAATCCATCAATGAGAATATTTTGGTGTCCTGTTTCCATGAGTGTCAAGGACCTTTTTGTAGTGCTTGCTATCCCTTAAGCTCTAAGCACGTGTTTATTTTGCTTAATGGTGCATTCAGTTCTGAACAGGACTGCCAATATGACAGCCTCGAGGAAGAGGAAAGGATAACACACATATACGCAAGAATACATTGGAGACGAATTCACAGCCTTGGTTTCAAGACAGCAGCCAGTCTTGACTGACCACTATGTCATTCATGGCAGCTAATCGGTAAAGTACTTGCCTAAAACCAAAACCCTAAGGATCTATGGTTCGATGCTCCCCGACACAAACAGCAGTTCTTTCGACTTCATGGATAGGTAATTAAAATACCAATAAAAAATAGGAGTTTAATTTCCTTCTGGGAAAAGTGTGTCACATTCCTTTATGTCCCTTTTCTTTTAGGAGCACGTTGGTATTTCTTCATCCTTTTCAGTGAAAATAATGAAGAGTACGTAGGATAAGAAACATACTGCCCAAAGCTACAATATGATAAATCTCAGGTATATTTATTAACACATATAAAAAAGGTGATTTTCCCTGAACCATCACCATAATCATTCTTTTTGTTTTATGCTCATTTTCATTTTCTTTTCCGCAGTCTTATGTTAGCCAATGTTGAGCCTCTGCGTTAACACTTTGTATGATAAAATTCTTCATCCTTTTTGTCTTTGTCCTTCCATACTTCTATGTTTTATTTGTTTCATTTTCAAACTCTTGAATACTGAAAATAATTTCCTTTAGACTCGACACTCTTATCTTAGGGCCCTAGTCTGGACACTGTCGAGATAGAAGAACGGGTCGTTTTTTTGCGATCTACTCGACAGAGAGCGAGTCTGGTGTCATCGTCTCAATCATTACAGAGATCGACGCGTCGGAAATTTTTCCGTCAGCTGGACAGCTGCCATTTAAGTTTCTGACTGTCGTTTTAGAGCTAAACTGAGGACGGCGGAGGTCACGGACTGTTTTTGAAAGTGTACGTAATAGATATTTTAATTTCTTAAGATTTGTGAAAAACTCGAGTATTTCGCTATAGAAATACCGCATTTGATGCTGACGATTCTACATTATTTATTTATTTTACATTACCAAAGCCTTAATTAAATTTTAGTGAAAATAATATATTTGGTGTTTTCCTATTTCACATATAAAAAAGGGGTGCATACTTTTAATTTGAAATTGTAATTTTTAAACTAATGTATATATCAATGTACTTAATTTTATGTTTTGAAGAGTAATTTATAAATTTTGAAATTTTATGTTTTAAATTAAAATGTATTTCCCTCTACTTTTATTTGAATTTGTAGTATATAAAATGTAATACATTAGACAAATGCATTAAAGAATACGGAGTGTAGAATTCAAACTATGCACATCCTAAATTCAACATTCATATTAAATTGCTTTGAGTTAAAAAAATTATATTAAGTAGTTTTAACTGTAACCGAATATCAATGTCAATTTCCAGTAGTTTCTAGAATCTCCTGTATAATTCAATTCCTGTATTAATTTCGGTGTATAATTTTCAGTTAAATCAAATTCTATGTAAATATTTTAATGCATGATTTATAATTAATAATCAGATTTTTTAATGTGATCTACTTTTAGATAGTACATCAGTTTTGTGTATATTTTTATTCATATGTAAAATGTTAGTTTTGATTTTATGTAATTACGGCACAAGCCCTCGAGGGCTATCTGCCTAAAGTGAGGGTTGCCTTCGTGGACATTCTAAGGAAAACTAGCTCGTATACACGTAACACATTAGGAAAACCACGAAAACGTCCATGCAACCAGCCCGTTCGCGGGATACCAACCTTTGACCGAACTTCTAGTGTTCAGCGATTTTACAGGCCGCTGGTGGAATCGATTTAGAAAGGGTATAAATATATATGTACTGCAATTTCGTTCACTGCATTTGTTAATATATTTATACAGTTTTATATATATGTTTAAAACAGATTTTTCTGTGCCTTAAAACTTCTATGCTTCTGGAAGTTATCAATAATATATATGTAATTACAATGATATATTGGTAATGACTGATACAGTGGTAATGACTGATACAGTGGTAATGACGCCCATGCGTCCAGCCCGTTCGCGGGATTCGAAACTCGGACCGCACTACCAGTGATCGGAGATTTTACCGCTCAACCACTAGTGGGATCGACTTAAAAAGGGCATAGATAGGAATATGTACTGCAATTTCCTTTCACTTCATATGTTAATATATTTATAAATCATTTATATATACATATAGTTATTTATTTAAAGCAGGTTTTGTATGCCTTAATTTTTTATGCTTTTGGAAATTACGAGAATATGTTGGTAATGACAGATATATTGGTTATCAGAGATATGTTAGTAATGTAACAAACCCGTTCGCAGTATCTGGACCTCGGACCGAACTACTAGTGGTTAGCAGATTTTACAACACGGTCACTGGTGGGATCGATTTAAAAAGGGATAAATAGGAATATGTATTGCAATTTCCTTTCAATGCATATGTTAATATATACGTGTGTGTATGCGTGCAAGATAATATGTTTTATGATTTAACCCATAGTTATTTAATTGTTTTTATTTTTCTTCCTATTGCTTTTGTTAAAGTTTGTTATATTTTTACTCACTGCTTATTGGTATGTACAGTCGGTCACAAAAGTATTCGAACACCGGTACCCTATCAGAAAATGACAAGATGGCGTTTTTTTTTCTCTTTCTCTCTGTGTGTCGTGTTATTCCATCCTAGGTTTTCTTCTCCCCCCATCTTGGAAAAAAACTGGAAAAAATTGGTTACGATCTCTTTTTGAATGGGGAGATGCCATTTTGAGAAAAAGCTGACGACCCTATCTTGGAGAATGAACATGACCG